TGTGTGTGTGTGTGTGTGTGTGTGTGTGTGTGTGTGTGTGTGTGTGTATCTCTTCCCCTGGCCTTCTTTTGTGCTGTGGCTAAGCTTGAGACCTCTATGTTGTTGATGGGTCTTACTTCCAGGACTGGTCATGTCTGTGGTATCAAGTCAAATCAAATCAATTCAACAAACATTTATGAAGTCCTTACTAAATGCCAAGCACATTAAGTGCTAGGGATAAAAAAAAAGCAAAAATAATGCCTGACCTCAAGGGATTCCCAAACCAATGGGGGAGACAACATGAATGCTAGTATGTACAAAGGAAAAATAAAAAGGATGAAGTCAGTTCAAGTCAACCAGGATTTTTTTGGGCACTTAATATGTGCCAGGCATTATATTAGTTGCTGAGAATACATATACAAGCAGAAAGACATTCCCTGCTCTCCAGAACTGGAGCATGGTAGAGAAAGAATGGGACAGTCAGGAGTATAGCCTGGAAAGGAATGAAGACTGGCCTGGGCCTCCTATCTAAAAGGGAGGTTATGAAAGGACCAGATAATCAGAGAGAGAGGCTGCAGAGACGGAGGGTACTTCCCATATGTGAAGTCCAGGGCTGGAGTGAGCTTTCAGGAGGAAGAGGTTTCTGGAGCATTGTAAAGAAAGACCAGGAGAGTTAGGAGTACAGCCCGGAGAGAGAGGAAGGAAGAAGGAAAGGAAAGAAGGAGGAGAGGGAAGTAGGGAGGGAAGGGAAGAAGGAAAAAAGGAATGAAGGAGGGGAGGGAAGGAAGGAAGGAGGAAAGGAAGGAAGGAAGGAAGGAAGGAAGGAAGGAAGGAAGGAAGGAAGAAGGGGAGGGGACAGGAGGAAGGAAGGAAGGAAGGAAGGAAGGAAGAAGGGGAGGTGACAGGAGGAAGGAAGGAAAGAAGGATTTGTTGAGTGCCTACTCTGTGCCAGGCACCATGCTAAGAACTTTACAAAGATTATCTCATTTGATTCTGACAATAACCCTGGGTGGTAGGTGTTATTATTATCCCCCTTTTACAGTTGAGGAAAGTGAGGCAGGCAGAGGACAAATGATTTACCCAGGGTCAAAAAGCTAGTAAATGTATGAAACCAGATCTGAGCTCTTCCAGACTCCAATGCTCCATTCATTGCATTATCTAGCTGGAAAGATAAAAGGGAGATAATCTCAGAGGGAAGGTATTAAGGAGGGAATGGGAAACACTTCTCCCAAAACATCAGATTCTAGCTGAGACTTAAAGGAAATCAGAGAAGCCAGGGACAGAGACAAGGCAGAACATTCCATTCATGTGGGACAGCCAATGAAAAGATACTGTCAAAAGATGAAGTATCTTGTGTGAGAAACACCAACAAGGCCAGTGTCACTGGATAACAGAGTCATGGGGAGAAATATGCAAGAAGATTAGAAAGGTAGCAAGGGGACAGGTTTGTGCTGCACATCTTTACAATCAATTTTTGAACTTTGCAAAAATGTTCATCAACCGCTGCTCAGTGACTGAAAGGATTGCACATGTCATCCTAGCCTCAAGATCATTCAATGAACTGGGTTTATGCATACATGACCCCATGGCAAAACGTCTAAAGGAGATAGATCCAGAGATGAAGGGGATCAAAGGGGAAGACTTTCTCTACTGACCCATTGGTCTGAAATAGTGTCATGAAGAAAATTAAACTTAAATTTAAAATGGTTTTCAAAATTCACAAAATCACATGATGTAAAAGAAATAAAGTAATTAAAATTCTAAATATTTTGGTAAGTTTACAGCATTTATATTTCTGAGGTTATTGAAGCTTAAAACTGTATTAAAACTTTTGAGACACTCTATATTGTTTAGTTTTATTAACTGAATTAAATTTAACACTATGATAACAAAACTATCTTGGATTTTCGTTTCTTCATTTATGTTTCCTTCTCTTTTTTGAGAATCACTTTCCCTACCCATCACCACATAGCACTCCCACATAGAAGGAGGAGGAGGAGGAGAAGGAGAAGAAGAAGAAAAAGAAGAAGAAGAAGAAGAAGAAGAAGAAGAAGAAGAAGAAGAAGAAAGAAAAGGAGGAGAAGGAGAAGGAGAAGGAGAAGGAGAAGGAGAAGGAGAAGGAGAAGGAGGGGTGGGGAAGAAGGGGGAAAGGGAAAGGAGAAAGAAGAGGAAGGTTGAGGCAGGGGGGAGGGAGGGCTAGGCATTATCAGCCATAGGGAAGAGAAGCCGGGTCAGGGACCAGGGCAAATAGAACTGAGGTCCTTCCCCGTTCTCTCTCTAGACTCTGCAGAACCATCCTTCAGAGACTCCGTGACTTGAGGGTCCACCTGTTCACCAGACTCCAGCTCTGCCCTCCTGGTTTCTCAGGCAAGGAGCGCCCTCCAGCTGTACCAGGCCTCTACCAACAGGACCCCCAGAATGATGAGGACCAGCCCAGCCAGGCTGAGGCAGATGAGATTGCTCACGGTGTAATCTTGGGGGGTAGCATCTGGGGGGGAGGGGGAGGCTGTCATTGTAAGAGAGACAGGGGCAATAAAGTGACATTAAACGTGAGCCCAGATTTCAACATCCACAGAAACCTCAGACCCCAGGCCAGCCCCTGCCCACCCTACCTCCACCACTCCCAGCAGGGCCCTGGGAGCTCTCCCTTTCTGAAGATGTGAGACTCCCCATCCTATCTTTTGTCCCCCATATCAGAGATCTTGGGAAGTTCTAAAGTTAGACCCACCCCAACCCCAGTCCCTGTCTTGTAGGGCCCAAGGAGCAGTGGAGTCTCTTGAGGGTTGGTGGGGAGGAAGGGGTCCAGGTGGGGAATTCCTCACCTGAGACCCTGACCTCCACGGGATCACTAGAGGCCGACCACAGGTAGGGATACCGACTGTGAAAACTGTAGCATCGGTAGGTCCCTTCCTTAGTAGTGGTCATAGAAGCACTGGTTATGTTTGTCCCGAACAATACTTTCTGGAGCCGAGAGGTATTGACCCCTTTCTCCTCGTAGAAGGTGAACCGATCAAATAGTTGCTCCGAATGACATGAGAGAATCACTCTCTGTCCCTCAACCACTTTCTGGATGGACAGTACTAACAGGGAGGGTTTGTCATAGAAGCCTGGGGGAAAAAGACATGGCAGTGATGATGGAGCTGCCCCTCCTCAGCCTGGGTCCATCCTCCTCTCCTTTCCTCATCCCAGGGGATGGTTGTGGACTGGAAAACATCTTCATTCTCCCTTCCATACCTCCGGCGAGCCCAGGCTAAGATCCTTTCTCCCCTCAGCTCTACCCTGTGTCCTGAGAACAGAGATGAGGCACCAAGATTGGATATGACCCCCCACCCAAGAGGGACCAGCCCCAGATGGGGGCAAGGAGGAGGCAAAAGAAGGGGAGTGGGGCAGAAGACGCGGGACAGAGCAAGCAGAGAAAGAGGACAGGAGAGGGCTGTGATGCCCCAGTGCATGGGCCTGGGGCAGAGCCTTCCTCCCCTGGCAGGCTCCAGCGGTCCTCAGCATCCTCCTGCCCAGTCAGCTCCAGGGATCTTCTCCCCAGTCTTCTCCTCCCCCATAACCATGGATAACTGACCCCCTCTACTGGTTGGAGTGCTCCCCCCAAATCTGTGCAGCTCTCTCTCCCTTCTCCCCCAGTACACACACACACATACACACACACACACACACACACACACACACACATATACAGTGTAGGCACCTTCACAGAGAGGTTCTGCCATCATAACTCCTAAGCCCAGGCTAGACTTGAGGGTAGAGGGCAAGGAGCAGAAGATTAGGGGAGGGGTGAGGAATCTGCTGGGGACACAGACTCTGCCCTGACTGAGGGGTAGAGCCAGGTGCTAGGGGGTCCTGCCTCACCTGTCATCACCAGCTCCAGGGGCTCACTGGGCTCTGAGATGCCAGACTGGGTCTTATAGAGGCAGTGGTAACTCCCTGCAGTGTCCTTTGTCATGGAGGGGATGAGGAAATTAGCCTCCATGCCGGCTCCAACTGCACCCTGGGACTGAGTTTCTCCCATCATCAGATAATACCAAGTAGCCCCAGGATGTCCCTTGCACCTGAGGATGACAGGTGTCCCCTTGGGGATCAGAGGGCCTGAGTCAGCCTTGAGGGTGGGTCTGAGGAATGTCTCTGGAAGAGAATCAGAGCCCAGAGGTCTAGGGGGTCCTCCCTCCCCATCCCCAGTCTCTCCTCCCACAGGCACCCCCATTAGCCTCAGCAAGGCTCCCAAGTCCTCCCTCCCCAGCCACCCAGTCTGTGCCAAATGGGGATCAGGTGCAGAAGGGCTTAGGGTGGGGGAAGGGGCTCACCTGCCTGTGCCTTGATCCCTTGGCCCATGCACAATCCTGTTGGAGAAGACCCCCATTACACCTGGCTCCCCACTTCCTTCCTACCCAGCCCTAGAGATGAAACAAAAAGGAAGCCAGAGCCTGGACCTAGAGACTGGACTGAGAGGGGCTAGGTGGGTTTCAGGAGACCTGGATCCTGCTTCCCACCCACTGGGACCTCCAGAAAATCAGTTCCCCCCCGAGCCTCGGTTTCTCCCTTTGTGAACAGCATGTATGGACTGGGGAATGGTCACAATGGTCTACAAGACCACTGTAAAAGCTGCAGGAGCCCCCGTCCCTGGAGCCCTCTTGGATTTCCCTCCCCAGGACTCACCCAAGCACAGCAGGGCGGTGCCTGCGGGGCCCATGGTGGCCCCAGCTCTGGAGAGAAGGTCAGGCAGAGGATCCTGCAATGTTTCCCAATCCTCAGCCTTGTTAAGAAAGGGAAGTAGCGGCTTCTTCTTCCTTGTGATCTCCAGTTGAGGAGGGTGGGGTTATGTGGAGAGGGGGAGGGCAGTCAGGTGCAAGAAGGAGGCCCAGGGACACACAGGCCACCACACTCCACTCAGCCAGGAGCAGGTGGGGGAGGGTGGACGGCCGAGGGGAGTTTAAGGGGAGAGTGTAGAGTTGGGGAAGGAGTCGTTGCTTCATCCTTTTGGTCGATCATTTCTGATTCTCTGTGACCCCATTTGGGAAGTGTCCCGGGAAAAGTCCAGGCAATCCTCCCTCCCTCCCCTCCTCCCAGATCCCCCCATCAGTCTGGCCCAGGCTCCCAAGTCCTCCTTCCCCAGTTGCCCAGTCTGTGCTAAGACAAATGAGAGGCAGGAGGACCGGGAGGAGGAGAGGTGGAAGAGCTTATCCGCCTCTTCCCTCATTCTCTGGCCCAGACGCCATCTTGTCGGAAGAAAACCCCCCTGAGACAAGACTCTAATCTGCTTCCCACCACACACCCCCTCCCAGGAAGAAGGAGATAGACAGTCCACAGCTTGAAGACGACACAGAGAGTTCTCAACTGGGCACCCACTGCTGCTAGGCAAGTCTTTTACACCCTCGATTGACTCACTAGCCTGCTTACTACAGTGGTTTTTCTAAGCCTTCTCATCCCTCCTCACACCTCCCATTGCTTCCTCCTTCCCGCAGCCTCTCAGCTGAGATACTTGCCTCATACGTCATTTGACAAGTTGAAGACATTTTCTGAGAGCTTCATGTCACATCAACTCCTCAGCACTCAGATGCCTTCTGCCACCATATCCACATTCACCCCTTTCTCAGATGATGAAGTGGCCCTTCTCCTTGCCAAGCTACCTCCTCTATGTGCACAAGCAATCTCATTCCATCCTGTCTCCCTCGGAGACTGCTCTCTCCGTCACCTCTGCTTGTTGCTCTTTCATCTTTCCATGTCTACTAGCTACTATTTCTAACTAATATTTACATGCGAAACCTAGGCAAACAATAGCATAGTCATTCATTAAGAATGTTTGATAGATTTTTATTTGGAGACAGCATCATTTGTGTCTAATTGCGATCTTTAACAGGTAATGAAAACATTCACTTTCATGTCTTGAACTTTTGTTTCTTTAGTCATTTCATCCTTCATATACTACGAAGAGCCAGACAATTGAAAGAAAAGTGCATTTCTAGAACTTCAGGAGTAGTGGGATGCATACTGTCTGATGAAGAACAAGTATCCTCTCTGTTCATCTCTGCCATCCTTCAATCTTATGGCTAATCATTAAAATAAAAGCATCTGCCATAGGAGATCATTATGGAAATTATACACAAGTATGCATTTAAGGTGGGAAAATGAGGGGAGACAGCGTATTAATTAATCATTAGCACCTTTAACATTCTTTTGGGTTTTTTTATACATAAGAATTTTGTTTCAAAGAAAAGTCAGCTTATTTGTTTTTTGGGTGGCATTTTCCCCGTCAAATTTTAAAATTATGATGAACGAAGGGCACCACTTTGACATACTCTATTTAGCATTTGGGCTGTTTTATGTCACATTATCAATTTAAGATAAATAATTATGTTGTTTTCAACATCACTTGAAAGCTCAAATATACCCAGGCATGGGTAATGAGCCACTTGAGGTCAGAGGGAACAATGATTAGAATATAATATATCATGATTGAAATATACTCCCTAAAGAAGTTTGGAGTAGTAATAGTAGTAATAGCTAACATTAATATTATGCTTACTCTATGCCAGGAACTGTGCTGAGTGCTTTACAATTATTTATCTCATTTGGTCCTCACAACAACCCTGGGAGGGAGGTGCTCTTATTATCCTCATTTTACAGATGAGGAAACTGAGGCAAACAGAAGTTAAGTGTCTTGGTCAGGGTCACACAACCAGTAAGTCTCAGGCCATGAATTCTTCTGTTCTCCATAGATCTGACAGGTAAACTGTTCCTTGCTCTCCCAGTTTGCTTATGGTATCAGCCTTTATATCTAAATCATGAATTCATTCTGACTTTATTTTGGTATATGATGTGAGATTTTGGTCTATGCCTAGTTCTTGCCATGCTCTTTTCCAATTTTCCCAACAGTTTTTTTTCAAAGACTAGGTTCTTACCCAGTTGATAAATGGTCAAAAGACATGAACAGGCAGTTCTCAGATAAAGAAATTAAAGCCATCTACAGGCATATGAAAAAAATGCTCTAAATCAATAGACCAAAATTGAGACTCTGGGCCCTACCTACTACCCCACCTAGCTGAGTACAGTAATAGCGATTCTTTAATTAGTGATTAGCAAATTCTTAGCACGTGTATGGCATCACATTGAAGAGATTGTGTTTTTGGATTTTTTTGGACACGTAACAAAAGCTAAGTGTGTTTTTTTTATTAATTTATTTTTAGTTTTCAACATTCACTTTCATAAGCTTTTGAGTTTTAAGTTTTTCTCCACCTCCCTCCCCACCTCCCTCCCCAAGATGGAGCACAATCTGATATAGGCTATACATATACATTCCTATTAAACATATTTTCAAATTAGTGATGTTGTAAGGAAGAATTAGAACCAATAGGAGGAACCACCAGAAAGAGGAAACAAAACAAAACAGAAGAAAAAATAGCAAATAGTATGCTTTGATCTACATTCAAACTCTCTAGTTCTTTCTTTGGGTGTGGATAGCATTTTCCATCATAAGACTTTTGGAGATGTCTAAGATCCTTGCATTGCTGAGAAGGGTTAAGCCTATCAAAGTCAATCATCGCATACTGTGGCTGTTGTTATGTACAATGTTCTCCTGGTTCTGCTCACCTCACTCAGCATCAGTCCAAACAAGTCTTTCCAGGTTTTTCTGAAGTCCACTTGTTCATCATTTCTTATAGCACAATAGTATTCCATCACATTCATTTACAACAACTTGTTCAGCCATTCCCCAATTAATGGGCCTTCCTTCAATTTCCAATTCTTTGCCACCACAAAAAGAGTTGCTATAAATATTTTTGTACATATGGGTCCTTTTCCCATTTCTAGGATCTCTTTGGGATACAGCCCTAGAAGTGCTATTGCTGGGTCAAGGGGTATGCACATTTTTATAACCCTTTGGGTATAGTTCCAAATTGCTCTCCAGAATATTGGGATCAGTTCACAACTCCACCAACAATGCATTAGTGTTTCAATTTTCCCACATCTTCTCCAACATTCATCATTTTCCTGTTTTATCATGTTGGCCAATCTGATAGGTGTGATGTGGTACCTCAGAGTTGTTTTGATTTGCATTTCTCTAATCAATAGTGATTTAGAGCATTTTTTTCATATGCCTGTAGATGGCTTTAATTTCTCTATCTGAGAACTGCCTGTTCATGTCTTTTGACCATTTATCAACTGGGTAATGACTTATATTTTTATAAATTTGACTTAATTCTCTATATATTTTAGAAATGAGGCCCTTATCAGAGACACTGGTTGTAAAAATTCTTTCCCAGTTTTCTACTTCCCTCCTAATCTTGGTTGCATTGGCTTTGTTTGTGCAAAAACTTTTCAATTTAACATAATCAAAATTATCCATTTTGCATTTCATTATGTTCGCTATCTCCTGTTTAGTCATGAATTCTTCTGTTCTCCATAGATCTGACAGGTAAACTGTTCCTTGCTCTCCCAGTTTGCTTATGGTATCAGCCTTTATATCTAAATCATGAACTCATTTTGACTTTATTTTGGTATATGATGTGAGATTTTGGTCTATGCCTAGTTCTTGCCATGCTCTTTTCCAATTTTCCCAACAGTTTTTTTTCAAAGAGTAGGTTCTTATCCCAGAAGCTGGGGTCTTTGGGTTTCTCAAATAATATATTACTATAGTCGTTGACTACTGTATCTTGCATACCTAACCTATTCCACTGATCCACCCCTCTATTTCTTAGCCAGTACAAAGTAGTTTTGATGATTGCTGCTTTATAATACAATTTGAGATATGGAATGGCTAGGCCACCTTCCCTAGCATTTCTTTTCATTAGTTCCCTTCATAAAATTATTTTTGATCAAGATGTAAGAACCCTACCTTATACCAAGCCAGAGGTGCTCCCCTCCCTCCTAGGGGTCACTTCTCCTTGACCTGAACCCTGGCCCCATTCCTAGAAAGAGGTACCTGCCCCTGGGCCAAGACTCCTCCTGTCCCAGGAAGGACCCCTGGGGCTGACTCTGCCCACAAATCCAATCAACAACAATGACCTTGAAGGGTGTCTCCATCAGGGGAAGACTGGAGTTAGAAAGCATGAGAGTGGTCCCCCACTCCCCGTGTGCTCTTGAGTAAAGCTTTTTCCATTTTCTTCATTGGGACAGTAGTGGGCATCCCTGACTGGTCTATGGGACGCTGGGATTCCATTCATCTTCTGTGGGGACACTCAAGGACTTCTGCGTGGAACATCGTCCTGAGTCAGCAGATCTGGGTTAGAACCTTGGCTCTGCCCCTTACAAAAGTTGTTGACCTTTCACCTCTGACAGCCTCAGTTTCCTGTCCTGTTGAATGATGAGATTGGAGTCCATGACTCCTGGGGTCCTTTCCATCTCTACGTCCATGATCACATGATCTAAATCACAAGGGGATCACAGTCTTTGGGGTGAAAGGAGACCAGTTCAGGGCTAAGAGCTGGATGACGATTGTCTGGGGTCCTTCTAGGCCATAGATTCTAGGAATTTTCAGAGGATCCCTTTCTAGATCTGGGAGGATGGAGGGGACTTATTGAGACTGCCACTATGCTCTCTAAAGGCCAGGTAGTGCGGCCAAGGCCCTGCGCTCACCCCAAACCGATTCTTTTCATTTCCAGCTTTGAACATCATACACACACACACACACACACACACACACACACACACACACACACATACACATCTTTGCCATTGGCCTTCTGCCTGGAGCTGAGGACCCTGGAGGCCCCCTATCTCACTAATCCTTGGTGGTGAGACCTGGTGTGGATGTC